GGAATTGTACCGCTTAACGCCGTAATTACGGGCCTCATAGCTAACAGCAATCAATCCGCCGCCTTTCCATTCGTTGTACTGCACTACGGCCGTCGGTAAGCCCCTTAGATTAGGCTGTTTCCGCTGCTCCACTGCCCACACAAAATATAACATAATAATAATAATAATTATAGGAGGATGGATTTTGCATCAACATTAACCTTTATGAATTAAGATAGAGAAAAACCGCTTCTTTTGGTTCCTATTTTAGGAAAGCCGAAACCAAAAACACCATCATTTGTGATTTCTAAACATCAACAACAAAAACAAAACAAGGCAAAGGCAAGAAGAAGTTTTATTCATAAAACGAAAAAAAAAGAAGAAAAGAAAAGAAAAGAAAAGAAAAACCTTGAACATAAAAGCAATCCATGTCGACGTGAGCGATGACTCTAGCATCAGAGGATTCGGGTTTCGCCACTGGCATTTCTTTAATCAATCAATTATAAACAATAATCTCTTTTCCCTCCAAATTTCTCTCCTTTCCTCGCAGCATGAGAGCAGTTCAAGTTCAAGTTAAATTGGTCTTTCTATATATATAATTTCTTCTAAACCAAAGCGCCATTTATGATTTTTTCCTTTTTAAAGGGCCAAAAAAAAGTGCGTGTGAAAATATATTTTCATCCAAGCCCCCTAAACTTTGGGATCTTTCCGAATTTGCCCCATCAACTTTAAAAGTTCTTACTATACTACCATAAACTTTAAATTTCTCTTACTTTTGCCCCCTTTCATTTTCCGTCAAAACCAAACAAAAAAATAGCATGTGTGCTCACGTGCGGGGTTATACAAGAATAACATCGTAATTGAATTTTGGGTTATTTACACCCAAATTCTTTGAATTTTAGAGTCAACTCTATTTTACTCTTAAATTTTGAGAATCGCGTGAATATATACAATGACATTTTTTGAAAAATATAGTCTAAAATTACATTTTAGACAATGGTTTGTTATTAACTGTCATCTAATTTGAGGCAAAAAATCAAAAAACAGTTTTTTTTTTTTTCCATTGCCACATTTTTAATGCCATTATAGACGATGGTTTCTCAATAAGCCATCGTCAGAGAGTAGTTGCCAAGTCTAGGTTTTGTTGTAGTGTCATGGCAGATAATGAATATCATGTTCGCGGCTATGGAGTGTCTCGAGGCTATACTTGGCAAATCCTAAAGCCGTGTAGATCGTGGATTGTATATAGGATCAGAAATGACGCTTCCACTCATGTACTTAGTATTTTTTTTCCATGTGAGGCCATATGGAGAAGTTTTCATTCTGTATCAGCTACAACTTTTGATTAGAGATTGTGTTAAGTATAATTTTTATTTACATAGAGTCATTTCTTAGGGTTCATCAATAATTAATTTTCACCTCTTCTTTATGGATATAGACATATTATCGAACTACGTTAAATTTTTGTGATCTTTTTTTATTTATTTTCTTCTCTATGTTTTAAGAGTACTTGAGTATCATCTTTTGATGTCTTTTTTTTTTTTTTTTTGCTATGACCCTTCTTTTCCTTTTTCCCTGATGTTGACAGCGACTAAATCATCAGAGGAGACTCAGGTTTGCCTTTGAAATAGTAAATTTATTTCACAGCTCAAGTTAAAAACTTAAATTGTTTACGTAAGAGAAAATCCTTCATTTTTCTAGGACATTAAATTGTCAATTTTGAAATTCAAGAGCTAGATTGCCAATTGCCAATTTCAATCTTTGTCAGAAGTTAGATCCTTTGATTCATAAGAACTACCTGTTATAAGGGACTTGCAAAATGAATCTCTTTATTGTTAAGACTCTACCCTTAAATTGAATCAAAAGCGGCTTAATCAGCCTAACTTTTGAGTGTACCAAATGAGGTATTTTAAAAGGGAAAGAAGGTCATTGCTTTCTTAGCAAAAGGAGGAAAAGAGACTAACTCAAGAATTCTCTCTCTATGTTTTTTTTTTTTTTTTGTTCTCCAATTAAAAACACTAATCTACAAACTAGTTATTGATCATACAACTAACAAATAATAGTAAAGTGTCGAGCTACGACAAGTTCCACTAATATAAAAAATAGATTAGACGACGGTTAGTAACTGTCGTTAAAACATATGACGATGGTTTTAAAACCATTGTCTTATCTAGAGTCGTTAAATGTCTAAAACCTTAGACAATATTTTTTAACCATCGTCTAATATGCACGTGAAAGTGTAGAAAAATCACTTTAAACGACGGTTTTTAATAAAACTATAATTCATGTCTCTCTCTTCTTATAATTCATGTCTCTCTCTTCTTTTTAGTCTGTTTGTCAGTTAATTAGTAGTACTAGTACTTGTTTAGAGAACTAAATTAATCATTTCCAAGGCGGATTACATCCACTTTGATTTCTCTGCATGTTCTGCTCCCTTTGTCAACCACAAGTTCAAACACGCACAGGTCATTGGCTTTGATGTTGTTTAATTAGCTTCCGAAACTCAGACCAACCTGTAGTTATCACAGAACGACCGTCGCTCTTCGACGTGATCACCACAGGCCAAGGCTTGTCATTCCGATAACGAAGCACCATGTTTGCTTCCAATCTGAGTCCAGTCAGCACTGAGCTAGGAAAATACTGCATCAATTAATAATCATGAATATTAGTAATTAATTAATTGTCGCATGATATACAATATGCATACATGGCATCAAACCGAGCTCATACATACATATATATATATATATACAGGTGTCTCTGTCTGCGTGTTTGTGTGTGTGTGTGTGTGTGTGTGTGTGTATGTAATCTTGCCACTGCATACTTGTTGTTTGTGTGTGTGTGTATGTAAACTTGAATAAAGTGGTACATTTCGCTTCTTTTTATGATAAAATTATATATGCATGTAAACTTGCAAATTAGAACACACGCCTACATTAGTACTTGTGTTGGCACAGAAACACGTCTCACTTTGTTGTCCTCTGGCATGTTGTTTATAACTCAAAGTTCAAGTTTGTTTCATACGAAAATGCGATGTTCTTGTTTTTCCAATATAGACCCTCATTTTTATGGTGCTTGAGAAGCTTGTATCATCTGTTTCTTATGTGTTTGTCAAATGGACAATGGCGCTTGGAGGGCAGTTTTGCATACACAGTGTATCAACCGTGCTGCTTCTTTTATCTTACTTAGAATTGAAATAAATAAGAATAATAATAATAATAAATAAGAAGAGGAAATACAAACTACAATAGAAGATAGTCTTCTACTTGTCATTGATGTCGTTCAGTGCGTCGCTAAGCATTCCAACTTGTATAACTTTTGGTATTCTTCGCTACGACCGCTGAACAACTTACCCAGAGCCAGAGGAACAAATGTTTTTAGACTTGGAATCTCAATCCAAACCTTCGGACAGGTAACCCACGATATTCGTCAGTAGGTCAACTCATTCTCCCACTGGCGGCTGTCAAAGATTCAACGAGGAGGGCTTTCATGACACAAATGTACCTTAGTCCGAATTTTCTTCCACACGAGACATTGTAAAAATATTTTAATCAATTTTCACGACAAAATATTGAATCATTTTCCATCAAGAACCTTAATAGAAAAGAATACCAAGAAGACAATGAAATAACTAAAGCAGACACGAAAAAGCACAAGCTTGGTTTAAAACTTGGTAGCTATTATAAATTAAACAACTGCACTGGCCAACTTCGTTTTCGACCATCGGGGCCAACACCAGAAGTTTCCATAGAAATGTCAATGCTGCGATGTTGAGACGCACGGACAATGCTAATGCGCAGACTGATATTAGTAGCGGGACAGCCATCAGTACCGATTGCTGCCGATCTGTGAACATCTGATTTTCCTGCAGCAATGGCAATTGGTTCCCGGAATGTTAAGATTGTTTGAGACCAATGTGTCTTTGGGGTGTGAGGAGAAGTGGATAAAACTGCCGGCATTTCTTTGCAAAACCTGCCAGTAAAACCAGTCTCAAACCACAAGACAACCCCATAACACCAGCTTGTCTTGGATTCCAAATCTAACAAGCTGCTTTCTGCATTGCTCAAGCTAGGTTCTAACACAATGCTTGCAGTAAAATCTACTTCTTCTGGTCTCATCGTCACCAAGTCAAACGTCTGAAAGGAGAACCGCGAAAAAAAAAAAAAAAAAAGACAGCTTCTCAACAAAATTGTGTATAAGAATTGCAAAAATGGATTTCATCTGGAACTAGTTCTGAATTTAACTCATGGTAAATACAACCTTTTGGTAGATTAAAATAAAAAGTCAATGTAAAATAAATACTTCTTATAAAGCAGATATCTTGCTAAGTACAAACGCTAAATTAAGAAAGTTTCTCAGCGTACCACCCATATTGTATCCACAAACCTAAATGGTGATAAATGGTATGTATATTCCAAACTGTAACTAGGGAGCAGCACTGACCTTCAAAACAGCAGCATTCGTTACTAAATCATGACCTTCTACGGTATCGACTATAGGAATTCGAGCTGCATCTCCAACAAGTTCCTTGCCAATGCAGGACATGTTGAAACCATACACATTTTCCCAAAACGGAAGACTCGTGCCACCTTTTCCAAATCCAGCAGCAAACTAAACGAAAAAATTCATAAAATAAGCTCCGCTACACGGGACAAATTTGATCAAGCGAGAGAAAAACTGTAGAAACTGCCACTTGAGGCTAGCTCAAGTGGTTGGGTGTGTGTGTGTCCAGCAGGGGTTCGAACCTTGATAGTTTCATTTCTTGAGTAAAGTAAGAGCCATATACTCCCTATCATATTTTTTTAAGAGAGAGAGAGAACTGTAGAAACTCACAATAGTTGCCGTGTCAGGAAGCATCGCACCTCCAGGTCTCAACCACCGATCCCGTGCGAAGAGCACAGAACTAAGCATTGACTCGTATAGTAGGCAATATCCCATCCATTCACTTAATAATACATCAACAGTATGAGGTTCAATACGTATTTTTTTATCAACCTCCTCAACCATACATTGAACAACTTCTACCAATCCAATGCATTTGCTAGTGCCATCGCTTGAACTTTTACCCCGCAAAAGGCCATTTTCTCTTGCTATCTGCAATTAACAAATTATTTCTTAATAACATAAAAAAGCTGCTTTTATTGATATTGAAGTCAATACAAAGGAAAGGGGACAAGAGGTCCTCAAGAAAGTGCGAAATCTCCAAATCAAAACAATCAATTTAAGTTGAGAATCGTATTCTTTGTTGAAGAAGAAGACAGACAATTCAGTTGATGATCTGACTAACTCTTACAGCACAGTAGTGGAAGGTTTGAGAGTTCCACTTTGTCTCCCTATCCTGGATTTTCCAAGAGTTTACACCAGAGACCTCAACTGACTGACTTCTAAAAAACCACCAATTAATACCCCCTACTATAACACTAACATCACATGCCTTACCATCTACACATTACCACTAACCACTCATAACGAGACTAAACGTAAGTACATAACAGAACCAACAAACCATAAAGCTCACAGCCACTGACTCACAGGCACACTTAAGACCCTGCCTTCCTTTTTTTTTTTTATTTCTTGCATAATAAAAATAACCGGAGGCTTATCAGAAAGCAAAACAAGAATGAAAAACAGAACTGAAAACAAAACAAAACTAAGAAAATTAAAGATCAAAAGCCATCAAGAAACCCAACAAAACCATGACAACTAATCATTCCAATTACATCTGCAACAGGGAAAATAACCTTTTAAAACAAGAAGTAAAATTATAATGGTGCTGAAACGTCTTACCTCGGTAGCTACTGCAGCCATCTTCTCACTTGCTTCAACTGCAATTACCCTTGATGCACCAGCTTGGGCAGCAAAGAGACTACAAGCAGAAAAAGGACAGAACAAATCGATTATCATAAGTTGGATATCAATGGAACAATGATGACTCACCAATGCAACCGAGTAGTGGATGATTAAGAGACGTTAATATAGAACTAGTAGCAATATTGTCAACATCACCAACTTGAAAAATCCAGCAAGCTGAACTGGTATTTAGAAATTAAGCATTGACGTTCCAATATTATATGGAAGCATGGAAAAATGTTAATTGAACATTGTTTCTTCTAAAACATATTTTGGTTGGACATTGGGGAAAGAAGAAGCATCTTTACATGTATTTCATTCTAAAAATTAAAAAGAAAAGGTAGGCTGTTACAACCCTGAAAGCTCTAAGGGGTGGTGATTTGATAATGTCCTTTGATGTTTACCTAACAGGGATAACAAAGGGACAGGAAGCATCACAAGAAAAGGAGATTCAATAGTCAAGGATAGAGGTAGATAGTTTTCCGGTTCAAAATGATCTAATTCCGTTCTTCCTTTTCTTTTCTCTTCTTTTTTCTTTCTAGATAAGAGGTCAATTTTTTAACTTCCAAAAGAAAAAAATTGTTCTTTGAGGACCTTTTTGCACAGGTTACCAAATTCAAGGTGTACCCCAAAAGGAAAGTTCAAATGCAAGAAACATGTAACTCATGACAAAACAACCAAGTTCCCTCAGCAATACAGCATAACTTAGGAGGCATTCATAGAATCATACCTAAAGTAAGTAAAATGGGAAAAAAAAAAAAGGGAAAAAAAAAAAAAAAAAAAAAAAAAAAAAAAAAAAAGAAAGAATGAAAGAAAGAACCAGTGCATTGTGACCCAAAAAAAAAAAAAAAAAAAAAAAAAGAGAAAAGAAAAAGAAAAAGAAAAAAAAAGAAAGAAAGAAAAAGACAGAGACGAAGACAAAGACTGCATAACAGTCTTTATGAAAACGTATCCTATAACATGGATAAGAACCTTGATCTTGTATAAACGACGCATAACTTCCATCCCACAAAAAGCATCCCATCACATGGTATCGTTTTATATAAATGAGAAAATTTCAAGTTTAACAATTGTTTTTTCCAACTCTATTATTTATGTCATTGTAAATAATTAGATGCCATTGTGGCCTTTTATTTTGTTCTTATTAATTGAATGACACTTGTTTATTTTTTAGTAGAATCGCATAAATAATATCTTTTACCATCTTGAGTGGTATTTTTTTCCCTTTATAAATTATCTTTGTTTCATTGATAAATTCCATTTACAAATTATCTTTTTCCATGAACGTTATTGCAATAAAATTTCATGTCAACTTGTGTACAGTGCAAAGAAATAAAGGAAAACTATCCCATCTTAAAGACTTGAATAATAATAATAAACTTGTGAAATTCACTTCAAGCAAGTTAGCAACTGAAAGAGAGAGGGAGGGGAGGGTTGGTCACCTGAGTATGCCAGTTCCACAACCCACATCCATCACAACTGCACCACTTATGAGAGACGGATTGTCCAAAATAGCTTGCCTGTATGCGTCCATTCTTACCTGCATGCGTAACCACAAAGAGACTTAGGTCTTGTTAGTAAAGTTTTCAAAACGGTCCTGCTCATTCTCCAAGGCAATTGTTTTGGAAAGGGTCAAGGCCAAAACAGGGAAACGAAAATCGTGTTTACACCAAAGTTGAAAACGGCTAGAAGTTGTTTTCCTTTTACTGATTATATATTCTAGGGCTTACATATTCAACGCATATCTTCAAAAACATACCAACGTCAAACCAATGTTTCTAGAAACACAACCAAATACAATTTCAAAAAGCATCCCAATGTCATTACCAAAAATATTCTTATTTCTATGTTCCTATCCAAAACAAAACCATTTTGAAACACTCTCAAAACAGGCCGTTAGAGACAACGTGGACTATTCACCTCAAACATCAAAAAACATACCTTATCACTAAGCATCTCTTTATGGATGCCAAATGAACTATATGACCCAAAGTAATCTTCATTTGCATTCTTCACGTCCTTTGCTACATGCCTCCGAAAATAAGCCCTTGACTTTTTGTCGCCTGGACAATCAATGCCACTCTCCGCAGAAGAACTTATCATTTCGTAATGATTATCCGAAGCAGAAGCAACATTTTCCGTTTCGCTGTAAATCTCATGATCAATGCGAATCTCTTCACAATTCCTCACAATAGTTGTAAGCTCATTGTCGTTATCATCATCATCGTCTTTCTCAGCAATATCTTCATCATCATCTTCAGTGAAACTGTACAAGAGCGGATCATCCTGTAAAAAAGGTTTTAGATACGCTTCGATGTTCCAACGAGGTTTGATTTCTTCAAGACTTAGCGGTTCATGCAAATGAGACTGAAGATCTAGGTTGGACTGACAGGTCAGCCCACAACTCCAACATCTGTTTTCTGCGACCTGGTAATGAATTAAACAAAACAAAATAAATGGAATTTTATACGATTCCTTTTTTTTTTTTTGGGCAATTTAAACGTTCTAAAGGTCCACAAGTAAATATATTACTTCATATTGCGATTCTAACACTCAAATTTGCAAATGTAATATAAGAACCCATTATTTGATAATTGAGATGTTATTCGTCCTACATACTACTAAGTCTTAATAAGAAATTCTCCTGTTTCGTTTCGTTTCTAAGCATTTTTGTTCTATTCAATATTTCAATTAAATACTTGCTAAGAACTTCCCATCATAGGATTCTTGAAAAAAAGAATAATAATAATAACAACAACAATAACAAAAAGCAAGAAGATAAATTTCGACCAGAGAGCGGATGTAATTGAAGAGGTTGAAGGAGGAGTAGAAATCCAAAGAGAGGGATCGTCTGATGGTCGGAAAATCAAAATGGTGAATGGAAATGCAGTGATCGAACAGAGAACGGCTGTGATCGAATGCGTAATCACAGAACAAGCACTTTATTATAGAAGACGAATCATTTCCTCCTTCTTCTTCTTCATTCCAGTCATCCCACTCTTCTTCATCTTCTTCTTCTTCTTCGTCGGTTTCTTGTTCTACTAGTTCTTCGTCTTCCGGTCGGACAGTTTCTTCGTACTTCACACTACTTTTGTTGTCGGCCATGATTCCTCTCTCTCTCTCTCTGAACGACAATGGAGAAGAAAGCTTAAACCCTAAACCCCCAAAACCACAAGCTCTTTACTTTTCTGTCCTCCTGTCTCATACCGGCACGCGCCCACGGCCCCACGCTGACGCTCTTTCTTTTAAATTTTTTCTACTTGTGTCCCATGAAGTTCTCGTGGTTTCAAAGTTTAGTCCCTGAATTTATTGTTTTGACATTTTAATCCCTAAATTACCTATCATATCATCTATTATTTTAATCAATGAAGGCAATGGCGGCCTACTAAAATTTTATATTCTTATATAAGCCCACTAAGTTTATTTTTTTTATTTTATTTTCTATATGTCTTCTACCAACAATTTTACTCATTTAGTCATTTATATGTATGTGAGCTCTTTTTTTTTTTTTTTTCCGTTATACCTTGCATTTCGAGATTAAAAAACATTTACTTTATATCTTGAAATGTATCTCATTTATAACTTCACATTTCAAATCATGTTAAATACTTACCCATTTTCAGTCAAAATTTATTTTGGCTGTGAAAAGTACTATATATCCTCATATTTTACATTTTTTTTTCTTTTTCTTTCTCTTTTATTAAGAGTGTTTAAGTCGATTTTTGGTCAAAATTGACTAATGATTGATGATTCGATAAAAGATAAGAATTGAGCATAAGTTTGAAATCTAAAGTTATAGATAAGATAAACTCTAAAACATCAGATGTGATTTTTTATAACCTCAAAAAAAAAAAAAAATCTATGATAGGGTATTTTTATTGATCTAATCAAAATCATATTAAAGTATTGATCTAATCAAAATCATATTAAAGTAAAATATATGCAAAATAAATTTTTTTTTAATACAAACACAACATTTCAAGACAAAGTCCTATTGGTAGGTTTTTTTTTTTTTTTTTTCATATTGCAAAATTCTCTATATGCATTTTGGCAATTCTTTAAAAGTACGGTACTACAAATTTTTTGTATATTCATATTATTTTAAAAAAAAAAATTAGTATACCATTATACCCCCATGAGATCAAAGACTAGCTCTCCCACTAAATGAAGGCACTTAATTAAGACAAATTTTCTTTTGACTTAAAAACTAACTAGTTGGACTCCACATGCTATGCATGTGGGGAGTAATCCTTGTGTTAAGCTTGAAATACCGTGTTATTATTAATGCATATAAAAATTAAATATGAAATTCAAAAAAAGGAAAAAAAAAAAATAGGGCAA